TTTTATACACACTACTATTAGTATTTTCAATAAAAAAATTATATTCTACTTATATTGTATGAGAACTTAAGCTGAGGCTAGTTTTTTTATAAAAAAATGACATTAAACTTTATTTCAATTTACATTTAAAAAAACTTTATTAAATATTATATATCTAACTTAAAATAGTTAAAAATAGAAATATAATTATTATTAAATTATGAATAATTTAATAATAGCTAAAACATAAGACCCGGCCGAAGGCTGGGGGAAAGCTGGCCAAAGGCCAGGTAAGGGAGTTTGGTGGCGAAGCCCCCAATAAATCCCCCCCCCCCCATAAGAAGCTTCATTTATAAATGTATTAATTAGAGTATTATTTGAACATTTTAATATAATATATTTAGGCTAATTGGCAATAGCGCCATAAAATTTATTACTGCATGATGTAGATTTCCTACATGTGAAATGAATCCCAAATATGCTTCTGCCATTTCATACTCGAAAAAATTTCTTAAAATTTTAGGACAGCTTTTAAAATCTTTATTTAAAAAGTATTTTTTTAAGGGTTTGTAAAATTTTAAAATTCTATCGATGGTAGTTATTAATGACAACCACCTGATAGGTATATATAGCAACAACTCACACCATTCCAAGTTAGACCACTTCAATCTTTTAATTCATTAACTCTTTTAGTTGATGTACTAAATTCGTTAAAACAATTCATCACAATTATTTCGACCACAGATTGCCTTCTTGCAAGAATTATGTAGTATATGGCATATACAGCCAATTGGTACTAATTCATTATTGTGCTACCACAATTCAGTAACTTTGGTTTTTGCCAAAATTTACAGAGGCATTATCAGCGCAGAAAGCTGACATGCAAATCACTGATAACCCTGAATTAGCTATATTTACCATTATGTGGCTAGCTACATCGTTGGATTTTTACTATCCGAGGAAAAAATTTTAATAGTTTTATTGAAATGTTCTTATTCTTGTTGAAATAGCGAAGGATCGAGGGAAATGTTTTAATATTTCCCTTATTAGATGCATCTGTTAGAATTGCACAGTGGCGTAGCTACGGGGGTGGTTTTTGGGTTTGGACCCCTCCCAGAGCAAATTTTTTTTTAGATTATACGTTCAAAATCAAATAAATACCATTAATATTTATATTTTTCTGGTTTTGATGTTTGTGGAAGGATATTATATTAATATTGAAATTATTCTGGGTAGTATTATTATAAAGTCATTGAAAATAATTTACTAAATTATAATAACATATTATTCATGCATTTATTTATTATATATTGTCGAAGATGTGGTTATGATTTTTAAGATAAACCAGGCCGAAGGCCGGGCAAAAGGGCCGAAGACTCGTTAAAAGGGGTCTGGGGGCGAAGCCTCCAGGATTTTATATGTATGGACCCCCTCTAAGAAAAATTCCTACCTACGCCACTGGAATTGCATATGGATGCCCATCTTTCAAATCATCTAGAATTGACCTCTAGGATTTAGGTACTAAAACACTTGTAGCCTTGCTCATTTTTGTTCTGCCACAAGTAAGGTTTGCACTTATATTGGAGTCATTAAATATCATGAGAAAAACACATTGTGATAATATAGCTCTGCGAATTTGAATACATGATAGATGTATACTATTTCCGTAAATGTAGTTGCATCTGTATTATTTATTATTTTTGAGAATATTTTTGTATTGCAATCGATGTTAATATACTCCCCTGTACTGACTTATATGAATGAAATGATGTTGATTTATTATTAGATAAAAATAAAACGGGATGGAAAGAAATTTACAAATTAGACATGTTTTTCGAATAAATATTTAAAATTTATTTTAAAAATATAAAAATAATCAATTAATGTCTCTCATATATATTAAAAACGTTAAAATACTTTTTTTTTAAATTTGCGGGAGAAATTTTTAAAAGGAGCTAGCTCCCGCTCCAAGTAATGGACTCCGTAGCCGCTCCTATAATTTTCATTTAGAAAGTACACGAAACAAAATCATATTTTTTTATCAAAAATGTTTTATTTATATTAAATGATACATCAAAATATCTATAATCTTTTATTAACTTTTAAAAGTAATAAATTTTCTAAATCTGAATCTAGCAAACATACACACTTCTCACCTAAAACCTGTTTAGCAATGCTAAACAGGCGCTCAACAGGAGGACTAGAGAGAAGCGTGGTATTGTATTTTATAAAAATATTTTTAAATTCAGGAAATTTATCAAAAATAGTAAGTTTGACATCATTATTTAAAAAATATTTGTCCAATATATTATTTTCCTGATGATCAATTTCAATCTTTCAAATCATTGCAAGGTTCCCGTTATTAATAACTATTTTTGCATCAGTGATTTGTTTTCTTAAAAATATTAATTAATTTGTATTTTAGTTTCATATTTTGTGCATTTTTTATCCATTCCCAATTTAATTTGAATGCAAGATGGATAATAGCCGCAATAATATTTTCATCATTAAAAACATTTGAAAATTTGCAATAAGTATTTAACTAGATAATTTTTTTTATATTTCGATTTCTTCTACTATGATGTCTGGATCCATAATATCAGAAACTATTTTTTATCATATATCTATAAAATGAATATAAATATGACTTACAAGATTTTCAATATAAAAAGAAAAAAAACTCGATGTTTGATATTTTAACTGATTAAATGAAAAATTAATATAAAACTCGGCTCTCAACATTTAATATTGCATAAATCTAAATAAAAACTTTTTATTAAATTGTAATTAACAAATAAATAGACTCATTAATATTTAAAAAATCATTTAATTTATACATTAAATTTAAAAGAGCGATGAAGCGGCGCTCCTCCACTCCAGCCCTAAAAGTAACTTGTTCCCGCTTCCGATTTTTATAAGGAGGGGCTCTCTAGGAGCGCTTCTCCTTAACAACTCTGGTTTTGATATAAGAAACTTAATCTTCTTGATAGTGAAGTTTTTTAATTGATCTTGCAGTTATACAATTTATAGTTATTTCTAAACAAATAGAGGTAATGGATATGATAGATCAAATTTATCTGACATTCCTTAAGTTATCACTCTTACGGTTAGAGATCCAACAATATATTTTAAAAAACGGAAATAATTTTTATTGCTGCGACATACATTACCCTACTCATATACTTGACCCAAGATATTGCGAATTAAATAATTGTAATTATATCTTACTTGTTTAAACCTAACCAGGACAAACAATGATATTTTCCAACTCACAATGCCATGACAGACCAAACGTTAAAATAAAAATACAACCGACAACTCTGTGGGAAATCAAGAACAGATTATGGAAACTTACAGGAGAAGAAATTATAAAAATAATTTTTGAAGAAAACAAAATTTTAACATTTTAATTTTAAAATAATTTTGAAAAACGATGCTCATTTCTTTTATTTTTTAAAAATTATATATATTTAAAATAACATGTAAACTATTTGTAAAATAAAATTTATATAAAAACTATATTAAATAAAATCAAACAAATATAGCAACCTTAATAATGTTTTGTTTGTTCCGGTAGTCTCAGATATCTGTGAATCATTTGGACCCCAAGCCCTAAAATTATTCAAAACAATAGGGCAAAGGTTATGCTTAATCACAGATGACCCAAAAGAAGGCTTCTACTTTCGACAGAGAATATCAACTGAAATCTGCCATTCTAACTGCATATCCATACATGGGTCTATAAGCTTCATTTTGAAAAACAGTATTAGATTATTTGTTTTTCAATTTCCTTCTTCCTACTATGCCTTCATAAAAATAATAACCATGTGGAAAACTTGTATAATTTGGGCTTATGGTAATTAGCGCAACTCTGTAATTTGCCCAAAATTTTAAGTCCCAATCAAATTCCTATTAAATATTATTAGAAAGTAAAAAGTCTTAATATGGACAACTGTTGGGTAAAAATCTAGGTCCCCACGGTGCATAGACAGGTTTTACTGTATAAAGAATACATTCTTTTAAAAATAAATTTTAAAATTATTATTTCAATTTTATAAGAATACTGATATCAAGGATGTAAACCTTACGACTAAAAAATGGTCCATGTTTAGGAATAAAATTTTAAAAAGGATTTGGGTCCAGGATTTGTAGAACATAGAAAAATGTTGACTCAAAATCACACCATTTTTTTAATTTATTTATTTTTATATACTGGTAGATAATGTAAAAGAAAAAATTTAAAAATTAATTAATTTATATTTTAAATCATGCAAATCTGACAAATATACATTTCAAAGTAGAAAATGCACGTTCTATGCTGATCTAAAATAAATCGTTACTTGTGTTACTACACACATGAAGAGTCTAGATAGGATATATAGTTCTGGATATATTGAAGAATTTTCTTCCCAGAATTTTAAAATATTTGCATCTATATTTATTCTCTTAACTATGATAACTTTTGATTAAAGATGTATTAGGAATTTAAGGTTCCTCCTTTTAATCTGAATTATAATTTTTTTCTTCATCTAAATGTAAATTTTCAAAGTCATCAACGGTGTTGTTATCATCATTATAAAAACTAGAAAATTTTGAAAAATACTAAAAAGAATTATTTTACAAAAAAAATGTTCTACTTCTTTAATGAATGTAAAAAACAAAGTTTTTTTAATATTATTTGTAAAATAATTTTTATATATTTTTCTGACACCTTGAACCCTTCCTGTTTTAAAAATGGTCTGAGTTGGTTCAGCAAAAATACGAGAGTTCAGGATCCGGGTTCACATCTCTGGTTCTTATAAATATATATTTTTAAATATTAACAAAATATTAATTAAGATGCTATTTTATGATCTAATCGATGAATTTTATAATATCAGCCGATAATCGATATTTTAAAAAGGACAAAAAATCGGCCTGATCTGATAAAAAATATCGGTACATCCCTAAATAAAGCAATGCTATTTTTTTAAATTAGCCTTTTAAGAACATATAATAGTACATATCGCACAATTTATTAATAGCATAAAAAATTCATACAGATAGTGAAAACAAAAAATGCGCTCAATTTTAAACAAATTTCGAAAATTTTATTTTATCTTTTGTTCTATCTTTGCCTTTATGTGCAGATGCTTTTGTTACCTTAATGACATTTCCAGCGATAACATTATTATCTGCGATAGACTTTCTTCTTTTGGCTTTACCATCTTTATTACTGTAAATTTTATCAGAACCGACCCTGGGCCTTATAATAGCGCGTTTTTTAAGCAATTTTTTCAAATTTTTTGGTGGGGCTGTAAGGCTCATCATGTATTCGGGTAGTAATATATCAGAGGCGTTTCCGGATCTTTTTATGATTTCGTATATAGGTTTAAGGTATGGAATGTCCTCGTGTGTAAAAAATGTTATAGCCTTACCAGTTCTACCAGCCCGACCTGTTCTACCTTTAAAATAAAAAGGCTTCATTATAAAATATAAGGTAGATAGGTGTATTTATTCAAAGTGTTAATAACAAATTTTAAAATTACCTATAATTATTATAGTTTTATTTTTATCATAAATTTATATACATTTAAATATAAAAATAATTAAATCAAGAAATGGATTTCATTTGTCTCAATTAAAATTGCTTATTACCAATCCTATGAATATAGCTAATTGAGGTAGTCGGAAAATCGAAATTAATGACTAGATTAACATCTTTAAAGTCCAAGCCTCGACACAATAGATCCGTACAAATAAGGGTCCAAATTTTACCTACTCTGAATTCTAGGACGATTCTATCTCTCTATTGGAATATTAAATTAAAAGAAACGTGTAATTATAAAAATTATTCCTAATAATATCAAACTAAAAATAAGTTCAAAAACAGGATTTTTTATTTTACATAATTTAAAAAAATTCTCGATTAAATGTACTTCGATTTGAGGTCTATCAGAGTGAATAACATCGACATTTATTTTTTCATCACAAATTCGAGTGTATAATTGTTGTGCCCTTTCTTTGGATTGAACGAAAATAATGACAGGTGGCCCCCATCCCTTAAAATATGTTCGAATATTTATATTAATGCCGTTGGAAATATAAGACTAAAACTTTCATTTTGAGATGAGAAAATTTCAAAGATAATGATCAATCATTTTGAAAATAATGGCATTTATAATCTAATTATAAAAACTACAATTTACACAGTAGTTAATTAACAACCATGATTTGATAGACCTTTTTCGATATTTAAGAATTTTAGTAACCAAATTAAGTTTTGAATTTTAATAATTCGACCTTTAAACTAGTGTTGTTAAACGGCTCGATTTGAGCCGGTTTTTAAAAAAAGCTAACTCAATATTTTATCCACAAATTACGCAAGCCTGAAGATTTTGCCCATAGATGGCACAAAGGTAGACATCTATTAGTGAAATCTCGATGTTTAGACAATTGTTTTCTTGTTATAATATTGATTTAGTTGTTTATAAAAATCGGCTCAAAACGAGCCGTTTAACAACATTAATTTAAACATGTCTCTAATGGAGTATATTTATTTCGTAGTAAGTTTGTTTTCTTCATGATTTTTTGGGTACCTTTAGAAAATTAGTGATAAAATAAAATTTATTAATGATATAAGAGTGGTTACAGTTATAAAAGAAAAATTAACATTTAAATAATATATAAACCAAATTATAGGCTCAAAATATTAATATTTGGTGTTATATTATAATCTTTCAAAAATTAGAGTATTGATTATTCCATGAGCCGATTTTTGGGACGAATCTTATAATACTAATGAAGGGTTTAAAAAATATCAAATAGTAAAAAATATATTTCATTTTTTAATAATTATTGATTATTCATATTTCTATAAAATGTTAATTGTAATTTAAATATATTTTATATTTTGGGCAAAGATACCCAATTTTAAAAAATGCTTAATATTTATTTCCTAAGAATATATAGATACTAAATGTATTATCTAGTTTTTAATTAATAATTAATTGAAAAAACTCCGAAAATCATTTTAAAAAAAGGTCATTTTCCTACTTTAACCTTGATATCTACAACAGCTATTAAAGCCAGAAGACTAAAACTCAGCCCAGATGTAGGTGACAATGACATGAAACTTAGTTTGTATGCTAAATTTTGTAAAAATCGATAAGGCTTGACAGAAAATTGTTTATCGCATTGATATATACTGTGCAATAAACCTTTTGAATTAATTGTTTGAGGCCGGTGATCTTTCCAGCTTCATTGCCAGCAAAATAAAGTTCTTGTTGAACAGTATCAGTAGGTGTATTTCTATTATTTTAGTTAATAAAAAGAAAAATATCACTAATACATTAACAAGAAAAGGATTCAAGCTAATAAATATATAAATGTATACCTCATTTTAACTATCAGATACGATAGGTTATTAATAATGATTAAATAAAATAAGGAATAATTAAAATTATTCACCTTATTATCAATTTTATAAATTAAGAACAATTTATTATTCTGATTGTTGAGTTATCACCTGGATCCTATGCAAACGGTAACGTAGTTATATAAATTTTCTTTGCACCAAATGTCTAACTGATTTGAATAGGTAGCGCTAAACATGGCTCTTCTCGTTATGGATGTATTGCAGGCTTGATAAATGTTCGTCAACTAAATATTTGAACATTTTTAAACTCTCTTCTCTTGAATATAATAATTGTAATGTTATCGAAACACCTAGAAAAAAATTCTTAAAAATAAAAATTCTTAAAAAACATGCGAAAAGCCAATAAAATGTATAAAAAATTTATTTTATTTATAGATTTAATTTCTTAAAATAAAATGAAAAGACTCATTGTTATAATTTCAAAGAATATTAATCAAATTCAAATTCAGAAAGTTGAAAGGCCCAGACGGATTTTTATGCATGAATTGTCTGGCATGGCTCATTAACACTTTGTTCGACCCGTTTGTTATAATTTTTTTTAAATATGTATTGTCCAATATTTAGTATTATTTTGTGATTTTAAGATTATAAGAACATTTTTTTTAAAATGAAATTTAAAATAATTTTAACAGTTTTGTTATAAGATTAATATTATATAATAAAATAAGTTTAACTGGAAAGGAGTTATATTTATAAAACACTCTGCATAAATACAAATGATAATATTTAAATAATGTTTTACTTAATACTTTGATATCATTGGCATACGCAGCGGGGAGGGGGTGGGACAAATCCCCCCCCCCCCCCAGCCAAAAAATGCAGATGCCGGATATATTTTTCAAAAATATTATTGTTTATATTAATTTATATTTGTTAATATTTATTCGTATCTCATATTAAATATATATTTTATTACATTTATTATCACATTCATAAGTTATTTTATCAATTAATTTCGATTTCAAGTTTTCCGGCGTAATATTTACTTATTATTTTCAAATTTTTAGTGGCGTAATATTTATCTACCATTTTCAAATTTCTAGTCAAATAATAATTATTTCTGAAACTTCTGGTCCAATAGGGAAAAAGAAATTGCAAACTTGTCCAACGAGATAGAGCCTCTTCCAGCAAGCACTAACAGCTATTAAGGAGTTAGAAGAGCCAATTATTTGCTATTACTGAAATATCACAATGGCCTGAAAGAAATATTTCCTCAGAAGCAAGAAAATTATTGGATTTAATGCTTATTCCAAATTTTATTTCTCATTAGAATGTATTATTTAATTATACAACTATTTTATTTAAGTATTACTTTTCAAAAACATGACGATTTGATTAAGAAGATGAGAATAGCGGAGAGCATTTTATCAGAACTCAAGGAAATTTGGGCGTTGATGAAGAATTTCATATTTTATTGTTGAGTCAAAAGCAGAGCTATGCGTGTTTAAGCTCATCGTTAAAACATTAATATAGGATCAGTAGAAGAGTATATCTTAAATGCAGATACATTTATAACCCAAATAAATGAATTTTCAATTCATCATGCAGCACTTACATCTGCAAATATTACTTCCACAAAAGCCTTCCCAACCTTTTTCAGATGGTGATAGAAAAAAAATATTTGTTAGATTTTTATTATGAAGATGTTAAAGTATCTTAGATGCCTTACTAGCTGAATAACTATGTTTATAAGATTAACTTAGTTGATATAGTCCCAAGAAATGCTATGGATGCTCTGCATTATTTCAAACACATTTTAGATTAAATTCCCAATGTATTAAAAGGGTTTATAAACTAATGAGAGAACATTCTCTTTTTTAAGAAGAATAACAGAGGCCTGGAGAAGTACCATTTGCAGAACACGGCCAGGATTTTTTTTAAAGATTTTTTACGGCCCGGCCTGGGTTTTTTTTAAAAAATTTGACCCGGCCAGGCTTTTTTTAAAAAAAATTTTAGGTCCGGTTCGGCTTTTTTTTTTAAATTTTCAGGCCCAGTCTGGATTTTTTTAAAATAAATTATATTTATTTTTGATTTTTATAGCTAATGATAACGATTTCTAATATAGGCTGTTTTAAAAAATACAGCCCGGCCTGGGTGTTTTTTTTAAAATAATTCAGGTCCGGCCCGGGTGTTTTTTTTAAAAAATTTCGGGCTCGGCCCGGATATATTAAAAAAAATTAAAATACTGTCCGGCCCAGGGGCCGGGCCTCCAGGTCTCTGAAAAATATACCAAGAAGTACAACATGTGAAAGTAGATTGAAAGGTTTGGATCTTTTGAATATTCATAGGCATTTAACGACAAGCAAGGATGAGATAATTGAAAAATTAGCTCAATCCCAACGAAGATTGGATTTTACATTGTAAATATATAAAATACAAAATACAATTATTCCTAAGAAACTTTTTGTGCAAAGGCTCAAAAAAATTCAAATTTCTATTTTGGGTCATTTATAAGTGATTCTTTACATATAATTTTTTTTATAATTCACATTAATTTAAAATTGTATATTAGGAATAGTTATTAGTCCTAATAAATTGATGCTTGATATTTTTAAAAAACAATAATATTTCTTAAAAAATTTATTATCCCCCCCCCCAGACCAAATTCCTGCATACGCGCCTGTTTGATATAATAAATAATTGATTACATTATAAAGTTTGATGAATAAAATTTATATATTAATAAAATTGGATATTTCACAGGAAGGAAAATATTATGGTCGGAATGGGAACGAAGCAAAAATATAAAAGTGCTTTGGTTCTGGGCCCCTGAATTAAAATTTATAATCAAAATATAATTGTAATAATTAGGAGACTTTAATTTGTAAAATTTGATTTTGGTAAAGTCATTATGTATTGCGTTAGATGAGTCATTTTTATTTTTATAATTTTATGTTTTAGTTTAATCACGTTAACCTTTTATTTTTAGATTTATAAAAGTTGATTATTGTAAAGTCATTATAATGATGATTATTATAATTTTTTTAAAATGTATTTTTAGTTTATAATTTGAATCTTCGGCATGATTAAGTGGTTTGTAATTTTTAACAAATGCTTTTTTACTTGTTAATTTTTAATTATTTTTTTCTGTGAATCATAGCTTCCCTATAAAAGGGAAGCTAGATTATAATAAATTCATACATATTATTTTTTGATTATAAAATTGTAGAAAATTAGAAAATAAAATCTTGTCTCCATTTTTAGTTATTTTCTTTTGCGGATCGAGTCTTAAGCGCCAGCGTGATAATAATAAAATGAGGGACATCTAGTAAAATATCAAATATTCATAAAATCAATAAAAGGAATTTATAAAATTGAATAAAAACTCCCGAAATATAATTGGCAATTCATTCAAGAAAAAGGTTTATTAAAGTAAGTTAACATGAAAAAATTATTATAAAATATTTAAGAAATACCTGATCTCTAAAACCAATTTCAAACAGTTTGTCGGATTCGTCTATGATTAGCCACTCGATATTTAATAAACTTGTGTGTATTTGTAAAAATTTTAATTATGCAATACTATTATTAGAACTTTTTTAATTTTTCTAAATTCGAACTTTGATATAAAATACCTTATCTGCCATAATAATAAAGTAACAAAAATAAGCTAACCCATAAAAATTTTAAAAAATGACAGGCAAAATATATTGAAATGTAGATTTCGTGATAAATTTATTCACTATTTCATTATTGAATCAATCATAATATTAATTACTTTTTTGTCTATGTAAAAGAAAACTAAGATTTGGATAGTTTCTAATACCAATTTTATAATTCAATATATAACTTTATTAACGGTGGAGTATTGTTTAACAAAAAATTTAATCGATTAGGAGTCGTTAAAAGAATATCGAAACTCGTGTTTTGATCCTTGTATTTAACACATTTAGGATTGTTCATCTAAAGCAATAATAAATGATGATATTGATATAAAAAAATAAAAGAGTATAAATGGAATTAAAATTTGCTAATTCTATAATATATATAACTATAAAATACGAAATAAATCAAATATTTGCATTATCCGTATTCGGTTTGTATTTTCGAATTGAGGAATTGTATGAATAGGAATAATTCTATAAAAAACAGTATCAGATTCGTCAAATATTCGATTCGATTATTAAATTCTTTAAAAATATTTATTTTTTTTTAAAAATTGAATTATTAAAATTTAATTGATTTATAGATGTGGAAATAAAAGTTAAAAATATAAAAAATTTAGCAAGGTACATGTTAAATACTTACGAATAATTTCACATATTTATAAATAATTTTGAATATTCACAAATAATTTTTAATCGATCAAATGGATAAAAAATTTAAGAATGAATAATATATTTTCCTTCTTAATTCAAATTGTGTTATTCGTATTCGTAAAATATAAATCAAATAAAGAATAATTTGTTTTCTTAATATGAAAGAGAGACCTTTGTAGACCGGGTATTTTTTAGTGGGTATGGGTTGGGCCTCTTTTGTATAAAAAACTTATTGGACTTGGGTCTAAAATTTCGTCATTTAAATTTTGCTTATTTCAAGCATATTTAATAGAACAAATCATTATAATTCATTAATATTATTTATCCTTTGCCATATTCTACTCTTGGTAGTAACTCAGCTTCTTTCAAACTTGCCCTCTTTTGGTCAAAATAGTTGCTAACTTAACCCACTAATGGTCAACGTACCATATTTGCAACAGTTATTTATTGATTTTTTACATAAATTTTTTTTGAATTGAAATAATTTCACATATGATTCTTATAGCTCGAAGATTGTACTATAACATAAAAAAACATTTTTTAAAAAATGTGAGTGCGCTTGTTGCCTTTGAAGTTCGAAAATTTTGGACTATTAAAATGCTTTATGTTCTAGGTTCCCTCGTTGATAGATTTTTCAATTGACATAAATTTATTTCTCAAAGATGCCTTAACCTATTCTAATTAATTTTGGCCCATCATTCTATCTATTCTCGGATTTATAATCATATATTTTGTACTATATCATTTATGCAACGTTGACCACATAAGCTTTCAAAAAAAGTAATTTTTATAAAAAAATTTATATAAAAAAATTTGGCATAATTCTTATTATGCATTTTTGTTTATATTCTTACTAAACAAAAATACTATTTTTTCATCATAATATTTTTATATTTATAAAAATAAATTCCAAAAAATTCATAATTTTATTGTTATTCTCATTTGGATATAAAAATTATTTGTAAATTATTTATTATCATCTTATATTTGCCAAATTTTTAAATAATATAGAATATTATTATGACAAAACAATTTCTAATAGTTGATGGAGCCCTATACATGCTAGAAATAGATGATGTAATTTGATTTATGTATATTTAAAAAAATGTTTCTGAAAATTATTTTTAAAAAAAAGATTATATAACCAAATTGTCCTAGTTCGTAATATATTTTTTGTTTATATGAATATATTTATGTAATGTCAATCATTCGTTACTGACATTGATTTGATCGTTATTGCATTATTAATTTTTTTATGATTTTTCAAAGATTAAAACCAAATTGTCCTAGTTCATAATATATTTTTTGTTTATATGAATATATTTATGTAATGTCAATCATTCGTTACTGACATTGATTTGATCGTTTTTGCATTATTAATTTTTTTATGATTTTTCAAAGATTAATTATTAATTCTTTCAGGATTTTTCATATTTTAATAAAGATTATTAATTCTTTCTGGATTTTTTCATATTTTAAAAAAGATTATTAATTCTTTCAGGATTTTTTCATATTTTAATTAAAGATTATAAATTTTTAAGATTGTTGGATTCTTTTTATTATTGGTAAGTTTTCTTCGTATTTTTGGAAGTAAGTTTGTACGATATTTTTGAAAGTACTTTTATCATTTTTTTTAAAGTAAGTTTTTTCCTATTTTTTGTTACAAATTTTGATTGATTATGTGATCAATTGCTTTTTAGCAATGCAGTATTCACCGGAATGATAGTTCAGTGGTGACAGTTGCATCAACATGTAAAGCTCTTAGCCCTCTATGCAACATATCAAGATTCTCTCAAAAATAAAAATTACACAACGTAATCTTATAAATTCAAATAATTCCTATATGAATAGCATAGATCTGTGCGATAACCTAATGTCAACATATATAAAAAATATACGAGGTAAAAATTGGTGACCTATTTTTAGCAAATTTATTTACGTAACAGTAATAAATTCATGTAAGTTATGGAATCGAGTGAATCCTGATGATAAAAAATCATTACTAACATTTTGGCGGAAAATATCTACGACACAGAGACCATCCTAATCAATCCTCAATAAGTAGGGGAGACTGGGGTATGGTAAACCCCGGGGCTGGCAAACCATTTAATCTCATTTTAAAATTAAATACACCAGAAGGTTAAAATTTTTTCCTAATATAGTTTTTAATAGTTTACATCTATAGACAAAAAATCTTTAGAAATAATTAATTATTAAAAATCTATAATTTGGGAAAGTTTTATGAATATCTATTATGTCTATATAATATTTCAATCATGATTGGTAAAGGGGCTTGCTAAACCATTCATGTCAATCTATTTGAATGATTTTTTTTAGTAATTATTACATTATTCGATATGGTGCCAAAATACAAATCCAAAAAAATTAATAAGGGTTTATCATTTAATATTGATAATTATTTAGAAGTATATTAAAATTTCATGAATTAATATTATAATGTAATTAGGCTATTAAGATATATGAAAATTGTAAATCAACAAGGATCACTAGCCAGCTTACAGGTAAATTTATCTACATTATCTGTCTTATTTTTATAATATAATCACAATAATTTTATGTATTTTTTAACAATAAAATCAATTTTTAGCAAAATTTAATAATAGAAATTATGTAAATATTTTTATTAAATGTAATTTGTAAAATGATCTTATATTTCAGATTGATTAAAATTATGATGAAGTATGGGTATTATTGTATTAATTTTATGTAATTCTTAAACAATAAAATATAATTTTAGCAAAATTTAATAATAGAAATTATGTAAATATTTTTATTAATGTAATTTGTAAAATGATCTTATATTTCAGATTGATTAAAATTATGATGAAGTATAGTATTGTTGTATTAATTTTATGTAATTCTTAAACATTAAAATATAATTTTAGCAAAATTTAATAATAGAGATTTTGCAATGCAAATAAAAATCTAAATGGTAATGGTAAAGAGTAGTGTTGCGTAATCGGCTAATTTTAGCCGACTACAAAACGGCTTAGCCGAGATTTTAGGTGGAAAAATCGGCTAAGCCTAATTAGGTAAAGCCTAAAAATGGGCTAAGCCTAAAAATTGGCTAAAATAAATTAGTCAAAATTCTACATCGATGCTTAGCATTAATTATTATTATTTATTTTAGTAAAATAATTTATTTTATTTATATTTAATGTAAATATTTTATTATTATCAACAAATAAACATGATATGATTTAATATTTTTTATTTATATTATTATATTTTGAAATGAAAATAAATTTATTTATTTAATGTTTTTTTAATAAAAAAAATAATATGCTGCTATATTGTAAAAATGTAATATTCTTTTTAATATAATTTATTAGTGATTTTCACAATCTTCTTTGTAAATACATCTTTTATTGAGGAATTATATTGTAAATTTTATTAGATAAATAAACAATCTTTTAGGTGAAATCTTTTATCATTTTTTTTATCATTTTTTTAAAATTATCTATTTATTATTAAATGAGGTGGATTTTATGAAACTTTTTTGATGATTTTATATGATTTTTTTAAGGATAATATTTTAATGTGACAATTGTCATAATCGTTCTTTTATAAGTTTTTTGAATTTTTTTGAAGAAAATAGGTTAAAATAAGTATTAATAACATGTGTAAATATAAATTTAGTGAAGACGTACCGATGAAAAGTGACAATTGTCATAATTGTTATTTTTAAAGTTTTTTGAATTTTTTTGACGACAATATGTTAAAATAAGTATTAATAAAATGTTTAAATAAAAATTTAGTGAAGATGTACCATAGAAAATAGACAATATCATATTCGTTATTTTATAAGTTTTTTGAATTTTTTTGAAGAAAATATGTTAAAATAAGTATTAATAACATGTTTAAATAAAAATTTAGTGAAGATGTACCATAGAAAAGTGACAATTGTCATAATCGTTATTTTATAAGTTTTTCGAATTTTTTTGAAGAAAATATGTTAAAATAAGTATTAAAAACATGTTTAAATAAAAATTTAGTGAAGATGTACCATAGAAAAGTGACAATTGTCATAATCGTTATTTTATAAGTTTTCTGAATTTTTTTGAAGAAAATATGTTAAAATAAGTATTAAAAACATGTTTAAATAAAAATTTAGTGAAGATGTAACATAGAAAAGTGACAATTGTCATAATCGTTATTTTATAATTTTTTGAATTTTTTTGAAGAAAATATGTTAAAATAAGTATTAACAACATGTGTAAATATAAATTTAGTGAAGATGTACCAATGAAAAGTGACAATTGTCATAATCGTTATTTTTAAAGTTTTTTGAATTTTATTGACAAAGATATTTTAAAATAAGTATTGATAACATGTTTAAATAAAAATTTAGTGAAGATGTACTCTAGATAAGCGACAATTGTCATAATCGTTATTTTTAAAGTTAGTGGATTTTTTTTGACGAAAATAGTTAACTTGCATTGATATTGATTTTAAAATAGAAAAAAAAGTTTACCCAAATTTTAAACAAGATTGTCTGGTGAAAATTCGTAAAAAAATAATAATTTCTAACTTAGGATTAGATATTATGATATAAATTTTGCATATTAATTTCTGACCCGATGAACGGATGTCTATAACTCCTGGTTTTTTTTAGATAATATAAAAAGCAATATATGATACCTAAAACTATACGTGTCTTATAAAAAAATTTCAAAAATATAATCATTTTTTTGAAATTTTATTTTTTGTAAAAGTAGAAAATTTGCCCAACTATCCCAATAGCTGGGTGAGGCAAACCACTTCAAGGGGCTTCCCAAACCATTGGTTTTTATAGGTCATAATAAATTGAAATGCATTTTTATTTATTAATAATGATACATATAGAATAATTTTATTGTTTCATTGTTCAAAATACATAATACTTATAAAATTATAGCTAATTATATATAAAAATTGAAACTTATTTTCTGTTAATTTAATAAATAATTTGGACATATAAAAAATTTATAAAATTTTGAACATGTACCATGTGCCCATCCGTGGCATATTCTGCATTGGTACCACTCTTTGCCATTATGATGTTTTATATATTCAAGCTTACAACAAATACAAATATCTTTGTGAATAATTTTTTTTAATATTTTTTTCTTGGCAATATTTTATTTTTCCATCAATTTCTTTTCTTTCTCGATTAATTTCTTTTTATATGGAGATGATGTGAATATCTCTGCTTTTCTTTTCACTCTCTTGTCTCTTTATTTTTTGGATAAGGCAAGGGTATTGATAAATTGCTAGATGGACCAGGAATATTATCTAAATGAGCATAAGAGGTAGTAGATGGAGTATCATTACATATATCTAAGGGTCTATTAATATTTAGAATATCTTTTAATACCAAAGATACCGAGCTTGAATCTAATACTGGGCTTATAGGTAGTTCAGATATAGAATTCCTATAAACTGAGGCAATATAATCTTCTTTCTTGAATATATCTGGATTCAGTGGATATATTCCACATGCTTTAAACCCATTAGCTATATTTAGAGGTGATGCTGCTAAAGGCAGGACATCCTTAATAACAGATGAAATATCATAAATGGTAAATAATTTTCCTGGATGACTAAGCATCCAGGAATGAAGTGCATTATTGTAATATTTTTTGAGAGGCCCAAAAGCAGACCTATCAAGAGGCTATAATTTATGGGTGCAGTGGGGTGGCAAAGATAATAGAATTATTCCCGTATCTATACAAAATTTGACAGCTGAATAGAAGTGATATATGATTGTCAAGGATTAATAACACTTCATTGGAGTACACCGAGTGTGTTTAGAAAAATGTTTCAAAAAATAATAAAATCCTCCTATTGCATCAGAGCCAGATGGACCATCTCTAACAAAATAATCATAATATTTTTTCCTGGGAAAAAGAAACATTGGAGGAATTGCATGGCCAATTGCATTTACTGCTAGAGCTAATGTTATTAAGGTACCCCTTTCTGCAGAAGTCATAGATCCTACCTGTTTTTTCCTCTTTTGTGCAATTATCTTGGATGGGGTTTGAACTGTGGTAAGTCCAGTTTCATCCATGTTGTAAATTGCCATACATTCTAATTTATGTTCATCTAATATTCCTAAATATTAAATGTAAAACATTTACTTAAAATCATTTAATAAACTTTTATATAAATCAAAAAAGTATAGAACATCTTCTTCATTAAATCCAGTTGCCCTAGCCATACTTGTAGCTTCAGGGGACCTTAAGGAGAGAGTAGAAAAGTACCAGTCATGCCCGGCCATTAAATTTTCCTTCCAAGATTTTGGAAATATTTTCTTCATATTTACTGCCATTTGGTGGATAATATTTTTATCTGAAAAACAATATAAAATAATGAAGAATAAATTTATACCTTTTTAATTGAAAGGCCATAAAAAATTTGGCTAGCTTGGATCAAATATTTAGTTATATTTTCCTCTTCTTCTTCTGTGAATATCTTATGTTTCTTATTTTGTCTTACACTAGAAAGTGTGCCACTTTTCTGATATCTCTTCTAATATCTCATAAAGTTTGTTGGTATACCTAAAATAAAAATTTTAAATAAAATATATAATTATTTAATTATAAATTTAAAATTTTGGAACATAAAATTTAGAAAATCTCTTTACCATTACCATTTAGATTTTTATTTGCATTGCAAAATCTCTATTATTAAATTTTGCTAAAATTATATTTTATTGTTTAAGAATTACATAAAATTAATACAATAATACTATACTTCATCATAATTTTAATCAATCTGAAATATAAGATCATTTTACAATTTACATTTAATAAAAATATTTACATAATTTCTATTATTAAATTTTGCTAAAAATTGATTTTATTGTTTAAAAATTACATAAAATTATTGTGATTATAACTTAAAAATAAGACATATAATGTAGATAAATTTACCTGTAAGTTGGCTAGTGATCCTTGTTGATTTACAATTTTCATATACCTCAATAGCCTAATTACATTATAATATTAATTCATCAAACTTATATACTTCTAAATAATTATCAATATTAAATGATAGACCCTTATTAATTTTTTTGGATTTGTATTTTGGCACCATATCGAATAATGTAATAATTACTAAAAAAAATCATTCAAATAGATTGACATGAATGGTTTAGCAAGCCCCGAATTTACTAATCATGATTGAAATATTATATAGACATAATAGATATTCATAAAACTTTCCCAAATTATAGAAAAGTTGCCATAAAATGTAATATACATATAAATGATTAAATATTTTAATGAAAATTAAAATTCTGTCATGTAAAAATCTTTTGAAAATTTTATCAAAATTTTATTTCTTAAAAAAAATTTTAATAATTAATTATTTCAAAAGATTTTTTGTCTATAGATGTAAACTATTAAAAACTATATATGGAACAAAATTTTAACCTTGGTGTATTTAATTTTAAAATGAGATTAAATGGTTTCCAAGCCCCGGGGTTTACCTAACCCCAGTCTCCCCTATCTATTAAAACCAATAATAACTTTTATTTAGAAAAGATAATTTTTTCATAAAATATATATAAATTATTATATTTGTATATAAAGATAAATAGGATATTTATCTAAATCTTAATAATATGTTAAAAAAACATAAACCATTTAATAAAATATAATTTCGAAAATAATATAAATATAATTAGTAAACGATTACGAATTAGAAAAAAATCATAATAACAAGACAATATTGAAAATAAATAATAAATAGTAAAATACAAAATAAATAATTGTAAAATACAAAATAAATAATTGTAAAATACAAAATAAATAAAAGCACAACCAGCATGTTTATTCAAAACACTCTCCCCCTAATCGGAGGGATTGAATGATAAAACAAACATAATTAGCCTTAAGAATGGCTATTGCGATCCTCTGCTTTAAGTAAAATCCTTTGCAAGGCTCCCCAGAATTTTTCCTGATTAGGCGGCCAACGTCTTTAAAAAACTTTTTAGCCAAATCACCATATGTTGTTAAAGTGGTGCAAATGATTGGTAATGTAATTAGAAGAATAAGCGCTGTATTTGGAGATCTTAAAATTTTGAGATCTGTTCAGAGCATCCTTGTTAAAATTGGAAGGGGAGTTCGTGTCCAGACAAGAGAAATCCCATATTAGAAACTTTCCTTGAGACCATGGGATACGTGTGACCCCAACAGGACGCCTACTATCGGAAAATAAGCCAGAAGGCTCCATTGAGGTAGGAAAACCAGCTGACCTAAGTGTTAGAGATATGGTATGATTGCACCTCGAGTGTCGGGTTTGCCGACCTATATTACGATTGCAATGTAAAGGATGCTGTGCCATATTGTCATCATCAGTATGACATTGCTGCATTTATATAGTAATGAGAAAGGAATGTTGAGCCTGTTACATAGCTGAGCTTGTGGTTGTCCAATTCAAGTTTAAGTACTTGATGGAATAACATCTAAAAATTCATATCCCCGATCCTTGATAAGTTCAATGAATGTTGATCTAGCCAAAAGTGGAAGATTCGAAATAAGGTAATTAACGGAATTTTTCACAAATGGCAGATTCCAATCCTTCTGTTTTACAGAAATCAGAAATAGGGTTGTGACTTGTGACGGATTTTGCCCACTCCATCCTAGCTGTATTCAAAAAAGTATCATGGACTAAAATATGTTGGTCAATTAATCTACGTGCCTGAATGTGGCTAGCAATGAACACACATATTGAAATTGACAGTGGGGATCTTATACCAAGACCACCATGTTTGGAAGGAAGTGTGGCTTGATGCCAGGCTATCTATAAATTTGATGTTTAAGCAGTCACCAAGAATGACTCTTATTCTGGTTTCAAATCTTACTAGATGCACCCTCTTAAAAATAATGGGCTCGATCGTAGTGAGTAAAGATTTTAGAGATGTTGAAAAAAATCCTAATTTAAAAAAGGCTTTGTGAGACGATAGGGAAGAACGCGTTTTAAATTTTCAAAAATATCGTCCATATCGCTAAAAAAGAATTTACTGACTCCTAACAGATGGAAGAGCCCAAATGCGATAAATTTCTCAAGGGGATATACTTAAAACTAAAAACGTTTAATGGAATTGTATTGATTTCACAATATTCGGTTTGATTAATTACAAGTCCAAGACTGTCAGTGGAAGCCTTAATAATATTAACACTAGAGATCTGCAAAGTTAGGCCCGGCCCGTACCCGGCTCGAACGAGCTTCGGGCCAGGCTCGGGCGGGCTTCGGGCCAGGCTCGGGCCTAATTTTATTTAAAATAATCGGGTTCGGGCCAGGCCGGGCCTAATATTTTTTTAAAAAAATCGGGCCGGGTCGGACCTTGGAAATTTTTTTAAATATATTTAAATTTATCAATTTTATATTAAATTTTTTATGTAAAATAAAAATATTAAATTTTATTTATTGAAACTAAAGTTTTTATTTTGAGTAATTATAAAAATTAATTTCTATATTTAAATAAATTCGGGCCGGGCCGAGCCGATAAATTTTTTTTAAAAAAATTTCGGGTCCGGGCAGGCAAAACTGAAAAATCAGGCCCAATGCAGATCACTAATTAACACCCTTTTCTACCTCAGCAGAATCGCCAGATGACTTCATCATCAATGTACCATAAATGTAGGGGCAGCGAGCATTCATTTTTTATTTTAGTTATCAAATCATGGATTCCACAAAATAAAATGGAGACCAGGAGGTCATCTTGTTGAATACCTTCAGAAGAGGATAAGACATAATGGCCAAAAACCAAATGAGATGAAAGGATAGTTTGTTAAAACTGAGAAATGTTTTAAGAATTTTGACATGATTACTTTTCTGTGAATGCTATTGTAAGCATTTCTAGTCGATTTTATTGAGTGATTGTAGCATTTTGAACATAAATACGAGTTATATGTGCAGCCGCTTCACATCCTGAGCTCGTTTCGACACCTAATCGATGTGGAAGAAGTATGATAGAAACTGCAGAAATCTGCTAGCTATAATTGGAACATAATCTCTTATATAAAGCACCAACCGCAATAAGCCTGATATCACCATTCTTTTTTCTCAGGGCAATAAATTTGGCTCCAAAAAAATGGCCCATGCGAAATCTGGGACATCACCAGTGATGACCTTGTTGCAAAGTTGAATATGTCCAATAAACAGGTTTGACTGTTGAGGATAGGAGTGGTTAAATCTTGAAGAAATAAAGTTTTGATACCTTCAAATCCAGGGGCCGCATCCTATTGAAAAGATATAATTGATTTAAATACTTCTTCAAAAGTAAAAATTGGAGAAGGGTTCTTAGTTTCAAAAATCAATATAGCTTTCGATGTTTGGGAATGCTTCTAGCAGTTTTTGGTATGATACAACGTCCATTGAAAGTGTGTCAAAGGAGCTGCATAGTCTAAGAGCACTATTTATGCCCAGGTTGTTTATTTTGTTGACGATTAGCTTCACCTTGAATTTTAAATCAGCCTGTTTTTTGCTACAGGTGTGAGTTATGATATCACGGGGTTCATAGTTGATATTAGAAGATGCTAGTTTGATATTCCTAGTGAAAGAATTACCATTCACAGCAGGAATTGGGAAAATTTGTGGCCGAATAAAAGAAAGGCTGACCATGCATCCATAGAAGAGAAGTTTTTTAACAGCCTATCAATGTATTGAGCATAATTAGTTGCAACAACTTGTCTGGCACCTCTTGGAATTCTGGAAATCAAACGAGGTTTGGGAAGGCCAAGGAATTAGGTAATGAAGGAATTGGTGATATGAATATCAGGGGTATCAAGAATTTTTGTATCAAGGATTTTAGATTCAAGAATGTTTGTTGTTGCAATATGTTCCTAAGTTGATAAGGATGGAACAGATAATTGTGTTGCAGGATTCAAGTGGGAGCTGTAAGGAATTGTTAAAAGAGAAATAGAGGGGACAGAGCCAGAAAGGGGGCATCTCTGTCCATTAACACTATGGGCCCTTAAAAGGCCATTCCCAAGCATTATATTAGAGTTCCTGCATTGAGAACAGAAACTTCTATCCAAAATAGTATCCGGGTCTTGTATAAGTGTGAGTTCAAACCTGTCACCATCTTCTTTGAGTCCAGGCATTTAACAATATAATGATTATATATATTCAATCTTTCAAATTAGTAGTTATCAATTTTACATTTAATGATGGAGTTAAAAAGGTCTATTATGTGTGAGATCAAACCTGTTCACCATCTTCTTTGAATGCAGGCATTTAACAAGATTAAATAATTTCAATCTTTCAAATTAGCAGCTATTAATTTTACAAGAACTATCATCTACTTATGATTCATAAAAATTGGTTTACTATGATTATTTAGTTCCTGAATTATTAATTTTGGATCTGTCAGAAAGAATTTACAGGGAGTTGACAAATTATTAAATGAGGAGGATTTATGTCATGTAATAACTATAGGATTAGCAATATTATTGAATATTAGTAATATCATTTAATATATAAAGAAACAGTCCTTCTACAGTCTTTGGGCATAAGTTTTAGTTTCCCCATTATCAATCATAGTA